ACCATGTATAAATTAGTACTTTAGATATATGTTTTTAAGTCATAACACTCATAACTGATATGTGTGAGGGTGTCTAGTCTATGTTACGCAGTGTGTTAGTATAATTATTACTCATTAGTAATTTTTAAATTTAAGTGAAGCAATAAGAGTTCTGAAAACGAATTAGGTTAGGTCTGTGATGAAAATTATTTTATTTTAAATTTAAAAGAAACTGAATTTTATAAATWATTATTTTAAAATCTATCATTTTGTCTTATTATTTTTAGTAAAAACCACATAAAGCTTTTTATCAGTTTAATATAAGAAAATTATACAGTTAAAAAACATGTTTATTGTTAAAAACTAAAGACCAACAGTGTCTATACTATTATAAGCATTAACACCCTGCTTAATAAAACAAATAAACAATGAAACTGATTTGATTGTCAGTTGGGAATCGTCATTATTTTCAGCAGATATTAGACATGGACTAGTGTACTTTATTACTTGTAATAATTTAGTTAATTGTAGGTAATGAGGTGATTGATTGAATTATCTATTTTATGATTTATTCATATTAATATTTATCTGTGTGGCTACGTAGGTATTATATATAGTGTACTATATATTACAGTTGTGGACTGGGAAATAAACACAGCYTGGGAAAATCATAATTGTAGAGGCCCTCAATATACTAACGGCCTTTTAAATATATAATATATTTTTTATACGTCAAGTGGATGCTATAACGGCCTATGTAGTATGTACCTAATAACTATTTTAGATTCTGAGCAGAGCGATGAATATATTGTTTTTACAATGATGTGTGTTTTTTTATTTTTGTGTCTGTCATCACCTTTTAGAATAGTAAAAATGCTTAGATTTTTTTCAACAGTATATTTTCTGATAAGAAAATGAATCTAGTTGGTAGTTTTCCCAGTAGTTTTCAAAAGTGCCGTGAAAAATAAAAGAAAAATTATGGATAAATGGAATTTTTATGCAAAATCGATTTTATTTTTTGATGTAACTCTAAAACAAATGACCATAGATACACAATCGTTTTTTGTATACAATAATATTATAGCATTRAATTCAAATTTAATACCATCCATTACAGTGACCTCATTGTACTTACCTCACTATACATCAGAATGACATCCACTTTTTAAACATAACAAAGTTGTGAACAAGCCTGRTTTGGCCGAACACAGGCCAATCCCGCATGCATTTTAAAATACCTAATCAGAAATCTATGTTATTATGTTTAATAATATTTTATATTACATACTTATTAGTAGTTATTACTTATTAGATAATATTTTAATTTATAATTTCACCATTCTAATATTAATAAATATAATATATTATATATTGGTATATATTTATACCAGCAGCGACCTAATGGGAAATTTCCCGGTATCCCGGTCGTCCAGTCCACCAATAATATACCAGTAGTTAGTACGTTTAGAGGTATTTATTTATATAATTAGGAAAAATGATGATGTTTAGTATTCTACTTATWGCCAATTTTGATGTTTTTTTTTWWATTTTTTTTATTGRAGTTGTTATTTAGTCTAGTGGTTCTTTATTTTATATTGTTTACAAAACTTTGTTGACTCATTCATTGACTCAGTATATCTGGTCATGACACGTTTTGACTATTTGTACGATATAATATGCAATTTATACTAACACGTCTAACACGTTTGTCATAATAACGTTTGGCCTTAAACTTTATTCATTCTCATATGGAATTAATATTTTTAAAAAGGAAACCAAAAACTAGCATGTAAATAATATAAAATAATATCCAATGTATGGAACGTTCAATGAAAAATTGACTTTGATGTTAATTTAAATCTTGATAAAGCCAACGCATTCTTCGTTTGAAAAAAAAACCCCACTTACTTTTTCTCATCCATATTGCTTACGCTTAAAGTATTTGTTAAGTCGCTTATCTAACATTTCTACAATATCATTTAAATTATTCGTAAGTCATAACATTATAATAAATCATAGCTTATTAGATAAGAAATTATGTAGTCTATCACTGGCTTTTGAAAATGAAAAAAATAGTTGATATAATAATTATTCTGGCCGTCTATTTAAAACTCCAAGTAAAATGTTTAATATTTAACACTAGATGTACCTTAAGATAATAAAATATATTATTAGGTATCATTATCACTACTTTACACTCTCGAGTCGACTTCCAAAAAAATAAAGTTGAATCATTTAATATCTACCTATTAGTTATTTACTTTTTTTCATAAGCAACAACTAAGCTGAGGAAAAATGTTAACGTTTGATAAAAATATGTGGGTGCTTTATCCTTCAAATACCTGAAATACCTATTTAATGTTTTATTAAAGGCTATAGTTAACTAAATTATCTCTACAAAGAAAATAAAATAAAATGCTAATAATATAATACACTATCAAAGTATCAAGTACAAAACTGCTTGGGCATTTTAATCATTTTAGTAGAAGATAAATAATGCATTATTTTTTAAGATCATAAGAAATCTTGGATAAACTTTGGTTTTCTTTGAAGTTCGATTTTATTGATTTTAGAACACATAATACATAATAACTAATACTATTWTTATTACGMTWGTGCAATAATTTTACGAGGCTTACTATTTCTGCCCATCCGATCGAAAAGTAAAAATTAATTTCTACTACCACCATACTTAATGCCGATATTAGTTTGTTCCTGTTTAATAATTTTCCTAACTTTTAAATATTCTTGATGATTTTTAAATTGTATTAGAAGCTAATTATAATAATTATTATTTATATATTTAACAAAAATAAAAATAAGTTAATTAATTACATTTTTATACATGTATAATATTATGTAGTATTGTCCTTTTAGATTCTAATCGGAGTGATGAATGTATGGATTGTGTGTATTTTTCAGTCTGTTAACATTTTCTTAAATAGAAATAATTCTCCAATTTTCGACCATAGTACATTTTCTGATAAGAAAGTGAAGGTTGTTGGTACCTTTTGGGTATCGAAAAATACATAGTAGTTTTAAAAAGCATCAGGAAAAAAATTATTTTAGACAAAAAGTTTTAGTTTTTTTTTAATGTAACTAGTTTTATCAACCGTAGATACTTTAATTATTTTCTCCACATGTTAATATTACCATTTTCTATAAGTACACTGTTTAATTTTCCGAAATTTCAACTCTTTTTGAGATATTTATAGGCATAAATATATTTCGATTTTTATTAAAATTATGCCAATAAAAAATGTCGCTGTATCAAAATACTTAAAAATTTAATACAAGGTTCCACATAAGATTTTTTTATCAAGAATTCAAAATAAAGTTGAACGTAAATTCACAATAATTTGTGCGTCTGATTTTGCAAATTATTTTTCGTGAGAAGTTCATAAAAATGTTCCATTTATATTTAAGATTTAAAAATTTATTAAAAGGTTACTCGTACATTTTTCTACTCTTAAAAAAAAAAAATACTATAAAGTAACTAATTTTTTTTATTTTGAGCGTTTGAAGTTTAAAT